CAGGGTTCCTCTTTCCCCACAGCCCCGCCATCATTTGCTATTGGTTGATTTCATGATAGCAACCATTCTTTCTGGAGTGAGTTGAAATCTCAGCATTGTTTTCATTTGCATCTCTCAAATGACCAGTGATGTTTAACATTTTTTCATGCAAAAAATGATGTCTTTTAAAGAGATTGATGCTATTTGCTAACTCTATACATGCAGTTTCTCTAGAATCACCAAAAAATACATGTATTAGGATGTGCAACATCTTTTAGAATCATATCACATTATTTACTCCTTTTTATTGCTTGTTTATATGGATTTGGTGTTATTAAAAATGAAAAGTTTAATTATTTAATTTTCTGTTTGTTTTGATAGGCTATGTTTTTTGAAAATATAGGCATTATGAAATATGAAGACTTACTTAGAATATTATTGGCAATTGACCTTACAAAACCAATTTCAGATGAAAACGTTACAGTGATTGATACAGCCTTCAGTCACATTCCAGTACGGCTGTACTTGCCAAGTAGGAAGTGAGAAAGACAGAGACCAGCTGTAATTTTTATTCATGGTGGTGGCTTTGCCCTGGAAAGTTGCAGTAAGTTAATTTTATACATATGTATGTTGTATTTTATATATATCCATACTTATATTAATATGTAGTGTGTTCATATAAGATTGACAGTCACTTATTGATAAAGTATTGTTCTCTATATAGTTTATTTAGTTTTGATTTGTATAGGTACATTTTTGTAGTACATTAAGATTATCTTCATCATAGGAAATTGGTACTTGTACATAACACTGTAAACATTTTTAGGTTCCTTTCCTCCCACTTTCCATTTCTTGGTCATTTTCCCATTAACAAAAGATCTATATTCCTGTTTCCTATTGTCTGTCTTTTATTTTGCTCTTTATTTGGGGTTTTCTCATGTAAGAGAGACTATATGATATTTAAGCTTGTTTACCTGATTTATTTCACTTAACATTATGGTCACAAGGTGCATCTATTTACCTACAAATGACTCTGATGTATTCTTCTTTACAACATATAGAAGTACTCCTGTGTTTATCTTTTGTCAAGGTTTGATCTCTTTACTTTGCATGGTGTCATATTTTCTCCTATTTCATTATTTGATTTTATAAATATTTCTCCTTTAATATTCTGCCTACAAATCTGTCTTTTTTGCTGACTCCTAAACTTACTACTGTCTCTTCTACCATGATGCTTCAACCCCATGTCACTGTCTAGTTATTACTCTACCACTATTTCTTGTCTTAGACTCACTTCTTTATACCTTAGATTCGGTTTTTCCCTTTTTGATAAATTTTTCAAAGTGTAACTGAAAAATGAACACTGTCTTCTGTTTAGCTGAATCTCTGTTCCTGTATTTACCATGTAGCCAATTTTTGTGGATTTCTTCTCCCCCTTTCATTTGTTCGCAGCTCCCACTTAAAAAATACAAAACACCAAAAGAGAGATGATCTTTGTTTATTTTTATATCTGTCCGTATCCCCAGCATTTTGTCTGTCACTTTGGATTCTATATCTTCCTTTAGTTTGTCATCTGTACTTTTCCACCCTACTGCCCACACTCATGCTGCTGATTTTTGGTTCTGTATCTCCATTTATCACATTTTTCCTGAATTTTACTTCAATAAATTTAACTTCTCTCTAAACCAGTATTCCTGGATTTACCATAGATCATTTAACCTTAACAAAAATTCAACCTTAAAAGAAATCAACTTCTTTATATTCTAATATTTTAATACAAATAAACAAATAAAAATAAGCAAAATGCTCCTCAGTTTGTGTTCTGTCAGTATATGGCCACATTGATCAATTACATCTTTTCCCGTTGATCCCAGATATAATAACCAATTTCATCCTTTGTACTTTCCAAATATCTTCTCATTTCTGTTCAAACTAAAGAAAAGTGATTTATCATGTAGATCTTTTTCTGTTTTTATATCTCTGTTCCACACCATTTCTTCATTTAGAACATCTTCATTTGAATTAAATTTTATAATATTCAAATCTGGTTATATGGCTTGTTGCAAATTTTTATTAAAGTCTACCACCTGTTGACAGTGAAATCCCAAGTGTAACATCCAAGTTCAGACATTTATATTCTTATTTTTCTATACAGTCTCACTTTCTTTCCTTTCTCTCTCTAAATTTATATTTCAATTGTATTTAACCATACTTATTTTCCTTAATTCTCTATGCATTCTCATTAGTCTTCATCTTCGAGCATATTTTTCCTTGAAAAGAACACATTTTACTTTCTCCATTTAATAGCAGTCATCATATCTTTACTTTTAGCAAAAGTCCAATTAATACCCTTTGAATTAATGTATATTGAATGACTAAATAGAATTTTGACATTGCGTTCACATAGGATTTTTTCACAAAATTTTACCCATTTTTTTTTCTTTGGTGGTATTGAATATTGAATCCAAAGCCTTTACAACTGAGCTATATCCCCAGAATTTTTATAAAATTTTTATTTTGAGACAAGGTCTTGCTAAGTCACTGTTTCCCAAGCTGGGGTAGAACTTGTGATCCTCTTGCATCAGCCTCCCACCTCCCAGGTTGCTAAGATCAAGCACATGCACCATTATGCCTGAATGACTTTTAAAAATCACAATACAAAGTAAAACTAGTATTGGATACACTAACATTTTATTGCATGCACAATGTTACTGACTAGTATTTCCTGCAAAAATGGATATGGTTGAGCTTTTGAAAATATAGAAATTATAATGCAGATATAATATTATCTTCAACTTGATTCTTGAGTCTGGCCGATTCTTGTCAAATGAAGTTTCATTGGATATCATACTAATATATTTCAGTTACAGAGTGAAAAGATACACTTTCTTCTGGTCCTTAGTTTTGAAAATATATAGAAATATAGGATTCAACCAAGGGATAGTAAAAATAATATGTCTATTCCTGACAAATTACTGCAGAACATGTCTTCATTCTTGTTAATGAGTCACCCATGAGTCAGATATTTACTAAAGATAGTTTCTAGCAGTAGTACATGATCCCAAGCTTCCTCCTGGTGAAACCTTCTAGAAAAGGGGCAGATCATAGCATGTACACACCATCTTTGGTGAATGGTGTCCCTTTGAAGTGTGTATCACAGTGAATCTGGAAGAAGCACTCCCACGAAAACAATGGGACAAGCAGAGCATGGTGAGTTTCTTCTCCCATTGTGATCAATCAGATGACCTGTCTTGGTCTTTTCCTCCTGAGTAATTTGGAAGGTGGTGGATTGGGACAGTCTTCTTACTCTGACAGAGTGTCTTTCTACTTAGCAACAAAGTAGAGATTAAAGAGTTTCTAGCACTTAATCATAATCCATACTTCTGTCACATTTCCCAAACATAGGTGGTTTTTCCATGGCTCTTTATTTACAAGAACTCCCTTTATGTTTCTTTCTCTCTTTTCAGAGCAATTTTCCTCTGACTTTCTGAGTCGATGGACTGCAAACAAACTTGATGCTGTTGTTGTGGGAGTAGAGTAAGAGAATGACTGATCTTAATATGGCTCTTGCCCTCTTTTGATATGTGATTTCCTGAGCAAGACTGCCAGACCTTAGAAGTGACTGGATCCTAGAGATTTGTGGATTACATTAAATTTTTCAATTGACAGTATAATACTCATGACTTCTCAAAGGGGCCCACTTCCACTTTAATCTTTGCCATTGCAGAAACCTCTGAGGAGACTTGGTCAATGCTATGTTTGCCTTTTGGTCAACTTAGCTCTGATGACTTCTAGGAATATAAAGCTTAGGTTCTAGGAAAATCCTAAGTATTGAACTTGGACAGGGGCAGCTTAGTTACTCACTCCACATAGGAATGTTGGATTTTGTTTGAGCTGGTAGTAAAAAGATGAAGTTGGGAGAGATTCTTGGTGGAGGAACATTAGGTGAAAAATGTCGGGACCATGTGAGCATTTCAAGTTATTCAGAAAAGGAGAGTTCTTAATGACTTCTGCCCAAATTTCCAATATTATACCAGAAAAGTGCATACATGTGTATTCTGTACTTCTGAAACTACCTCCTTCAGAATGAATAATTTTTTAAATCTCTTCTGCTATTTCTGCAGTACAGAAAGGTATCTGGGGCCATGCAGACTGATGCTGTAAGAAAATGTACTGTGATTTGGCTCCATGGCAGTATAATGGAGTCAAATAAAGAATACTAATGAAATCAGTGCTGTCCTACTCATAATTACTGCTTTACAGCAAGAGAAGAATCCTTTATATGTTCAGAGATATTTCTATTTACAACAGTAACCAGATATACCATGATTTTAATGTAATATGTCACATTGTCATTTAAAACCCACAAGTCTCTTGGTGCTACATTTTGTGGATATTTTAAGCAATGTATCAGTTATATATATTTCTTCTTCATTACACTATAGAAAATTTAAAGTAGTGGTCCCACCTTTTGAATCTTACACTGTTTAGATTATTCTACATTGCAGATATTTTATACATAAATTATAATACAACAAAATTGCAAGGGCCATCTGGCCAATATTGCAGGTTTTGTATTGGCTTGCAAATAATTCATTAATTTTTATGAATATTAAGATCACCATTATAGATAGAAATAAAATTACTATCCAATAGATGTATGATTGTATAATAGAAAGTGATATGTGACACATACAAAATCACAGACACACATATACAACATATGTATATATATATGCACTAAAAGATGCTATTGTAATTGATCTTAGAAATGAACTTATAATGACTAAGCAAGATCCTTTGCCGTATTTAAGTATTATTAATATTTTATTTTGAATTATTTTCACATAGCATTCAAGATGAATCACATGTAACTCGTCCGATTTTGATGTAAATAATTTTTGTACTGTATGACAAAGATAAATCACTGCCTGTCAAATTTTCTGCTTTTGAAATGTCATCTGTACTCCCATCAGTGATTCTGAACTTTTTTGAGTTATCAATTACATTTGCAACCTGGTGAATATTGTGCCACTGTGACTAATTGTTGTTTCGCTGATAATTTTACATAAAATTATAGGAGGATGAAGATATATCCTTTTCTCACAAATCTCCTTGATAAAAGGAAGATTTTAAAAACTTTTATATGAGAATATATTTATCTCATTTTAAAATAGAAGTTAGAAATAAGTTCATGTTTAGTTGATTAAATTAAGATTCAATGTACAGTTGATTTTGGTCAATAATTTTGTTGGTGAAATTGACAGATAAACTAAGTTTCATCATAAATGTTTTCTTTTTTTCTTTCTCAAGTTATAGACTAGCTCCTCAATATAAATTTCCAGTTGCCCTTGAAGATTGTATTGTTGTAGTCAAGTTCTTCATACAAGATAAAATTCTTGAAAAATATGAAGTGGATCCCACCAGAATCTGTATTACAGGATATAGTTCTGGGGGTACATTGGCAACGAAAGTGGTTTATCTGGTATGTTATGTGTATGTGTGTTTGGAACACTATGATGCTAACATTAATGAATCACTTCTTTAGTTGCAGGGCTTCTTAATCTTGTGCTTTCAGTTGTTAAGTACAAAAAAAAGTACCAAAATATTTTCTATTCCATAATTTTAAGTAAATTTTATATGAATTTGCATACTTCCTGCATGCTATTACATTTAGGTAGCTATGCCTGACACATATTGAGGCAATACAAAATATAATGCTTCCTTCCCTGCATCTCTTGGTTTCTTTCCCATTTGCAAAAGAAGTACGCCTCTATTTCCTATTATCTTTTATTTTTCTTTTTGATTTGCTTATACTTTCTTTTTGAAACAAGGTCTCACTATGTAGTTTATGTTGGCCTTGAACTCACTGTGTAGCCCAGGCTGGCCTTGAACTCATGGCAATATTCCTGCCTCAGCCTCCCAAGTGCACCTTGCACCACCATGCCGGGCCATACTTTACACTGACTTATATAAGAAAAAATATGATACTTAAGCTTATGTGCCTGATGTATTTCACTTTGCATTATAGTCACAAGGTGCACTATTTTCCTACAAATGACTCTAATTTATACTTCTTTAAAGCAGATTCCTACTGTATAAATACAACTGTGTATAAACAGAACAGTTTCTTTAACCTTTCATCTGTTGATGGACATATACCCTGCCCTATAAGATTTAGTTGTTATATATTGTGTTGCTATAAATAGGGTTATACAGGTACCAGTGTAGTATTCTGTCTTTAACTCTTTGAGAAGATACCTAGGAGACTAGCTGGGTGAATGAAATTTCTGTTTTAAGTTTTTTGAAGAATCTCTATACTGATTTCCACAGTAGTTGTAGTAGTTTACATTCTCACCCAAAGCCTTGCCAACATTTGTTGTTATTTGATTTTTTTCATGGTTACCATTCTTTCTGGAGTCATATGGAGTCTCAGAGTTGTTTTAATTTGGATTTCTGTATTGGCCAATGATGTTACATTTCTTCATGTATTCATTAGCAAATTGTACTTTTGAGAAGTGTCTATTCATTTCATTTGTCCATTTTTCATTGGATCTTTTAATTTAGGGGGACCTAATTTCTTGATTTCTTTATAAATTCGAGATACTAGTCCTCTGTCTGAGGTGGGGGTGTCAAAATTTTTTCCCATTCTGTAGTTTGCCCTTTTACTGTCATTTGTTTTCTTTGTTGCAAACTTTTCTCTGAAAAGTTTAAAATATACAATATGTCTCAGATCATCATTTAATATAACAAGGGGTACATGATTCTTCACATATGAATTATAAACTTTGGTAGAAATTTATAATTATTTAGTTATTAAAATTCAGATGCTGAACCCTGTAGAGAGTCATGAAATGACACTTGGACTGTGTGTCATGCTGTGTCAGAAAAGGAAATTTGCCTCATGTTAAAAGCCTTGCTGTGTATTACTGAATAATTTATTTGAAAAATTAACAGAAATAAATAATTTTGTTCCACAAAACCATTTTCAATGGGATAGAATAAATGTAATCATGCAAAATAAATGTAATACTAAAAATTCAATGAAATAATACCTCCAAGCATGAGATGACCTTCAGACATTCCATTTAACATTCACAAGGAGGCAAATGAACCTATAACCTCTTGCTAGAGTCCACTATCTCAGAGTCCTTCTTGGTCCATTGCTCTGAAGACTTGTGTGTCTTCAAGCATTTTAGGTGAATGGGATTTTGATCATGAGTTTCAACCTTCCTTCTCTGCATCTGGGGAAATCCTTCAGCAGCAAAAAAATCCGCAAGCAGGAAGAGAGTCTGGGGGAAGAGCTTTCAATACAGGAGCGAAGCAGATGATACCTAGGAGATCATTGCAATGAGCAGAGCAATGTGGATGGATAAGGAGTTGGATGTTTATGTGTGGTTATTACTAGGTCAGGTGTCTGTATGCAAGGGATCTTTATAGAACATTTTTAGTGATTTTAGTGTTTTGAAGTTAACTTCAATAGCAGCAACAGTGTACAATACCCTTCTCTAGCCTAGTAATATTGTAATTTTTGAAATTTTTCTTTCATCGGTACATTTTTGGCATATAATGAATACATTCATTGTGGAGAGTACATGGCATATCTTAATTCTTTTTATGTTCCCTTTCCCTCTTGCCATCTCTTGGTACTCTTCCCATTTTTAAAAGTTCTATCTTCCTGTTTCCTGCTATCTTTCTTTTATTTTGCTCTTTAACTTATTTATGGTTTGGATTTCTCATGTAAGAGAAACCATATGATACTTAAGATTGTGTTTCTGATTTATGTCACTTAATATTGTGGTCTTAAGGTGCAACCATCTTCCTTCAAAGAATTCAAATTCATCCCTCTTTATAGCAGGGTATGAATGTATCATGGTAATATAACATCCTTAACTTTATCAGAGACATACCTAGTAGGGGAATAGCTGGCTCAAATTCCTCCCATTTTAAAAACCATTATAAAATTCTAACAAAATTAATAACATAAAGTCTTAAGATACCAACATTCAGAAGCTCATAAGAGGCTTAAAATATTTTCTAGAATTATCCTAATGATCTAAATAGAAGCTCTGATAAGAATAGGAGAGAAGTTTCTAGTAGCAAAACCTCAAATCACACTGCATTTTAAAAACAGAACAAGAGCTATACAAACAGGAGTTCAAAGAATGTATAATCTCCAATTTTACAAAAGTACAAAACTTATTAATTAGTTCTCCTATGAATTTTAATGCAGATAAATTCTTTATGTATGCCATTTCTTCAATATTCAATCTGACTGCCTTAAAATAGATTTTCATAAGTAGAACAACTTAATGTTTAGCATGGAGAGACACAGTGTCAAATGAGCTTTAACAGTGTGCTTAGAGATTAGAAATGTATATAAGTGTCTGCTTCATTCCATTTTCATAAGTAATGCATAATTATATTTATAATGGTCTTATTTTTTAATAGATAAAGGTATACTTTTCCGTACTATAGTTTGAATGCACATACCTTTCATTATCAATATATTAAGATATATTTTACTGAGAACATAAGATGTCCATAAGGGTCTCTTTATTCATAGTCTTTGATAATTTATGTTTTAAAGTAACCTTATTGGCAACTCATAATCATTATTTTTGCTAAATTTGCTAACTTTTGTCTGTAATATGTTTTAATGAGTTTCCTTGCATTCTAAATGAGATTGTGGGTTTTTTCTTTTTAAATTTTCTTCTTTTTCATTTAGAACATTTTAAAATGTAAAATTTGATTATATTTTAATTTAATATTTCTTTCATTGCCTCTCAGTTCAGAAAGAATATCTGTTTTAGAAATTTGCTGAAATTAACATTTTGCATACAATTTCATAACTATTTATGTCTCTATATATGATCTATCATAATTCCAAAATTATTAATTCATTAAAATGTGTGTGTTACATTATGGCTTTGATATGCTTTAATAGGTTATGAACTAATGTTTCAATTATTATGCTTATTCTAATTTGATATTTATTTTATCTTTTGACCTGCCAAACCTCATGAGACTATCTAATGATGTCAAAAAAAATTGAGCTAGGTTAATTGCTCATTAAGACAATATACTAGGATATATATATTAGGACAGATAATTCTTTTTTATTATTACCAACAATAATACTAGATGAAGTTAATGTTTATGAGCAGTCACTACATTCCTGGAATTATTCTCCTTTAGTTTAATCTCATTTTCACCACATAAAGCCATATAAAACTTTGGGTAATTTCCTGCCCCTTTAGAGTTAAAAAACCTGAGCCTTTAAAGGGATAGGTAATTAGATAACTAGCCTAAGGCCATAAAATTTATGTTATAAAGCTAGAACTCTAACATATCAAGGTCTACAAAACCTATATTTTCACATATTGGAAAGTTAGTACCTTTCAGTCTCTTTTCTTCTTTCTGGTAGATTGGGTGTATCACCAGGCTTCTGTTTTTAAATATAAGGTAGTTTCATAAGTTTTAAATATAAGGTAGTGTCCTGCTTCGGGGACACATAGTGGGCTGTAAGACCACTTGGGAGAAATAGCGAAAAGGGGGAAGAAGTGAGAATTCACAAGATAGGGAATATAGAGTCAGCAGAGCAGTAGTTAGATAATATCCACCACCTGGAATCCCAATGCAGAAGCCCTCCAGAACCAGCACAGACTGCGTATGTGTCTTGGACTGGGCCAAATTACTTCTATTTCTGGAATTGCTTCATATAACCTCTTGTTCATCTCGGTGCTGTCAGACTTTCCTCATGGAGTAAAGATTGAGCAGAGCTAGGAGGCTAATGGAAAAAAGGAAATTAGACAAAGTGGTAACTAAATTGGATGTTCTCAATGAAAAAGTGAAGAACTGATAAATTAGATGACTTAGCTAAGTTAGGATTTCTCACCAGGTCAAATACTCAATGAATATTTTGTGTATATCCATATTATCCATACCTATACCTAGGAAGGTAAGACTCAGGGGACTTTACTGTATGCCTAAACTGGTGGATAAATGGGAGATGAATGTGGGAATCAGTGGCAAAGACCACAGATTTTGTGTGGAAGGCTCATGGGTGGTGGGGTGTGAGATGCAAGGAATGAAATCTGGCTCATAGAAGGATATCTAGCTTGGGTTAGAGTTATATCCGCAGGGATGATCCCAGAGCCATTTGAGACATGGTAGCCTATTCAATATAGGTTTGGGTTTTCTGAAGCAGGCTACATACAAGGTGTGGATGTCCATGGAAGCTACTGCTTAGAAAGACAGTTAAAGGAAATAGAAGCTATCAAGGGACTTTTTGTGGCACTAAAAGACAGATGAAATGATCTGACAGAAGTTAAAATCAAGAGTCAGTCAGAGTAAAACAAAATCATACAATTTAAAGAGGACAATGGAAGATGGCCACACAGTATGTGATGGTATAAGATAGCAAGAATAGATAACCAAGATAATCAAGAATATCACTGGTACATAAAGAGCACAGCATACAGT